ATGCAGAAGGGAAAAGGCCATCACTCACTGCCTAAAAGAAAAGCCGTATTATTATTATTTTTTTTAGTAATCCATCTTTTTCTAGGAAGTAAGGAAAAGCCAAGAGCTAATCTGACATAGACTAAGGAAGTGGGGATCTCAAGGACTGGCAGACTGAGAAGTGGGAGTGTTTAGGGATTGGTCAAACTTGAGCTGTGAAAACATGTTATCATTTGGAGGGTCTTTCTAATTGGCTGACACTTAGAAGGCTGAGCTGTGGAAAATCTGTTGCTGCTTGACTGATTTCTAAGAAGTGTGCTACTGAAGGAAGTTGCCCTTGATCAAATTTGATGAGCTTATGACTGACTCAGATGGTTAGTTATTGCTATGGCCAAAAACATCAGTCTTTTCCTAGGAAGATGGAAATGTATGATTCCTTAGAGAAATAGAAAACACATGTTTCTTTTCATGTTCAGTGAGGCAAAATCATGTTTTCTCACCACTTTTTTGGTTACTTAAAACCCCAAATCAAAAAACTGATAGAATTTTGGTCAAAAGTAAAAATGCACATAATGTATAAGAAGAAAGAAGAATTAGTGTATTGCTGGTTTTCAGATTATTTTGTTTCTTCACATATGGGGGGATAGGAATGGAACAGTCCAAGGAAAGAACATAGGTAAGGGTGATAAGAATGAGCCATATTTTCAAAAGAATAAGCAATCTGCAAATGTGACATAGCTTTGGTGCTCATACTATAAAGTTTTGGATGTGAGTGTAATAAATGTTCAAAGATGGGAAAACATTGGAAAGAATGAGAAGACTGAGATCTTGTTCTGGATGTTATACTCAGAATTTTAACAATGCACAAACATTAAGTTGAGGAAATATAATAAGAATTACATTGCATCAACATAACCTCAAAATAGCCGTAGAGCACAAATAAAATGTATAAACATGTATAACATCTATTTGTAATTCATTAGGGAGTAGAGATATGTTTGGAGAACATATTCTTATTTGATTTTTCTAAGAGGATTGATTCATTTACCAACAATTTTCTATTGTGATCTGTCTCTCTAGCAAAGTAGATAATTCCTTCCAAGATCAGGCCACAAAATATCCTTTCAAGCTAAAGTATTCTTGTTATTATTATAATTTTTTTTAGATTTTTAAAACATTCTCTATTTGTATGATTATAGGGTTCCAGGTCAAAAGATCTTCCAAAATACATACAAATATACATATATGCATACATATATCAGATATACATGTAATAAATTAGTTGAATATACATTGCATTACTTGAATGCAATAAAATTCATTTTGTACAAACAGCATAAAGTAATTTATAGAGAGTTTACCAGATATCACACCTAATTGCTGGAAATGTTCACAGTACTTTAAAGGCTACACATCATCAGAACCACAAGCAAAACATGTCATAGAATCAGGCTCCCGAGGGCATCACTGCTCAGAACTCTGAGCACTGGATTCAGCTGACTCAATATTAGAAGCACTAGACTCATCATCTCTGCTGGAATTATGACAATGCTGCCAGAATTTATGGATATAATCTTGCCCTATAGTTTGGTTGTTGCTGTGACTCTCATTTTTTCAGTATTCACTGCTGTTTTCTATCACTTATTCCTGATTCAAAGCCAAGGATAGATCACAAATCCTCATGTTAATCTCATGAAGAGTTCAAAAGCAAATACTACACATAGACCAATGGAATAGAATAGAGAACTCAGAATTGGACCCACATATATATGGTCAATTAATCTTTGACAAAGCTGGAAAGAGTATCCAATGGCAAAAAGACAGCCTCTTTTTTTTATGTTTAATTTGCTTTTGAGATAGAGATAGAGACAGCGTGAGCAGGGGAGGGTCAAAGAGAGAGGGAGACACAGAATCCAAAACGAGCTCCAGGCTCTGAGCTATTCCTCAGCACAGAGCCCGACACGGGGCTCGAACCCACGAACCGTGAGATCATGACCTGAGCCGAAGTCGGACGCTTAACCGACTGAGCCACCCAGGTGCCCCAAGACAGCCTCTTTAACAGATGGTGTTGGGAGAACTGGACAGTAACGTCCAAAAGAATGAAACTAGATCATTTTCTCACACCATACACAAAAATAAACTCAAAAGGGATGAAGGACCTGAATATGAGACAGGAAACCATAAAAACGCTGGAGGAGAGAGCAGGAAACAACCTCCTTGGCTTCAACCACAGCAATTTCTTACTTGACACATCCTCAAAGGCAAGGGAATCAAGAGCAAAATGAAATATTGGGACCTCATCAAGATAAAAAGCTTCTGTATGGCAAGGGAAACAATCAATAAAACTAATAGACAACTGATGGAATGGGAAAAGATAGTTGCAAATGACATATCAGACAATGGGTTAATATGCAAAATCTATAAGGAACTCACCAAACTCCACACCTGAAAAACAAATAATCCAGTGAAGAAATGGGCAGAAGACATGAACAGATACTTCTCCAAAGAGGACATCCAGATGGCCAACAGACACATGAAAGGATGCTCAGCGTCCCTCATCATCAGGGAAATACAAATCAATACCAGACTGAGATACCACCACACGCCAGTCAGAGTGGCTAAAATGAACAAATCAGGAGACAATAGATGCTGAGGAGGATGTGGGGGAAAGGGCACCCTCCTACACTGTGGGTGGGAATGTAAACTGGTGTAGCCCCTCTGGAAAACAGTGTGGAGGTTCCTCAAAAAATTAACAATAGAACTCCCCTAGGACCCAGCAATAGCACTGCTAGGAATTTATCCAAGGGATACAGGAGGGCTGATGCATAGGGGCACATGGACCCCAATGTTCACAGCAACACTCTCAACAGTAGCCAAAACATGGAAAGAGCCTAAATGTCCATCAACTGATGAATGGATCAAGAAGATGTGGTTTATCTGTACAATGGAATACTACATGGCAATGAGAAAGAATGAAATCTGGCCATGTGTAGCAACATGGATGGACCTTGAGGGTGTTATGCTGAGCGAAATAAGTCAGGCAGAGAAGGACAGATACAATATGTTAAAAAAAAAAAAAGAAAAAAAAAAAAAAAAACAAAGGAAAAAGGAGGAGAAGGGGAAAAATAGTGGGGGAGAGGGAGGGAGGCAAACCATGAGAGACTCTTGAATACTGAGAACTGAGGGCTGATGTGGGTGGGGGAAGAGGGGAAGGGGCGTGACGGGCATGGAAGGGGGCATTTGTGGAGATGAGCACTGGGTGTTATATGGAAACCAACTTTACAATAAACTATGAAAGAAAAAAAAAGTAGGTACATATTTTTTTAGTTAGAGATTCATTAAAATACACCAGGCCTTCACTGTCATTTTCCCCTCTTAGCAAACTTGTTTAGCTATCAGCAATAGAGAGTAGGCAGACCAAGAAGAAAGTAGAAGCCTAGAGCTTTTACTACTATCGTGGGGCTAGAACAAAACCATTGATGATCAGGGTATCAAAGATAGGTAAAACCTGAGAGACTAAGGCTCTGAAGAAAAGAGAACAGAGAGGATAGCTCAATATTTGTTTTATCTGCATGGAATAAGAGGCCATGGAAAATAGAAAGCGAAGGCTAAGAGCCCTGGAAACTAAGCAGAATCTTTGGGTTTCTTACAGAATCGGGGTTTTAAAAGCTAGAGTTTAGAGCCACTCATACTGGGCATGCTGTAATCAATATTCCAGGTATCTAGTTGAGTGACCTAAAAACTATGTACTCCTAGTAAAGAAAAACCATAAATAGACCAGTCCCTGTGAAGTCTGAATTTCAGATTCTAGCACAACTATTAAAATTGTCAGATGAAAATTAAATACTTTCTGGGAAAAGATAACGTCATTCAGAAACTCTAAAATTATTTATATACAGTTCAATAAGAGTAAGGGAAATAGTCATATATCGTTCATGAGTGTGTAAATTATTTAGTACACGAAAAACTATTCGATATCCAAATGCAATATTAAGTTATCTAAATCAACAAAAGTACAGCCAACAAAAATAGATCTACATATGATCAAGATTTGGGAGTTACTAAAAACATTAAAGCAGCTATAACTCACTATATCTAACACGATTAAAACTTTCCTTAGAGAACTGGAACACAAAAAATAAATCGGATAATCGAGAAATAAGAAAAAAATATAGTGATAAATAACTTAATAAATGGTTTTAACAGCAGACTGGAAGAACAACAGATAATTAATAAACTATGAGGTAGGTTAGTGCAGCTAGGAAGGAAAAGGATGGAAAATGGAGAAAAGAGCATAAAAAACATTTGGTACAAAAATGGATCTGTCAACCATCCTGACTAAAGTACCAGGAGATAGGGCAGAGAGGAGTGAAGCAGGACAAAAGAAAGAATGAATCAAAGATTCAGGGGGAGAAACAGTCTTCAAATATGATGAATAAAAGGAAACAAAACATAGAAAAAATTCTTGTAAATTGTTAAGAAAAAGGATAAAAACAAAATCTGAAAAGCAGACAGAGAAAAAGCATCCTTATCTTCAAATGGGCAAGAATGAGATTGATGGGTGAATTTTCAAAAGAAATATCTGTATGTGAGATTGTTATATCCTTATGTTTTATTGTATTTAATTTTTAAAATTTTTATTTATTTCTGAGAGAGACAGACAGCGTGAGCAAGAGAGGGTCAGAGAGAGAGGAAGACACAGAATCTGAAACAGTCTCCAGGCTCTGAGCTGGCAGTCAGCACAGAGCCTGACGCGAGGCCAAACCCACCAACTGAACCTTGAGATCATGACCTGAGCTGAAGTTGGACGCTTAACCGACTGAGCCACCAGGCACCCCTGAATTTTATTTAGATATAGTTTATTAAGTATTAACCTAGCTTACCATATTATGTCAGGCAATAAGTATTTCTTTTAGCAGTGTGATAATCTTGTGCTATAATGTCTTTATTCCTCTCCAGAAATAAAAGTTTTATTAGCCCAGCTGCTGAGTGTTGCTGGCATCCAGCATTCAGCTGTCAACCCTTCTCAGAGATTACTTCCTTAATGCTGCATGATTGCCTCACTTGCAGATCATCACCAAAGGTCATGACCTCATGCCTGATTGGTTCACATCAAGTGATTGCTCAACACTGGGTAAAAATATCCTGCTTTCTCAGCTCATCTCTGGACATCTCTGATGGATCTCCCCATCTTCAGCCCCTCTTGCAAAAATGGCTAAGCCATTCCATTTAAATGGCATTGCAGCTTGACTCCTTCCTCTGAGGCAGCTTCTTTTCTCCTCATCAGTCTATTGGCCCCAGAGAAGTCTTTAATACATCTCCTGCTCTCAGCTTTCTGCCCCAGAGTCTAATTCTGGAAGAAACCAACCTGTGACAAGTAGGTTCCATAATTTTTTTTCTGCTCATTGGGGCACACCTTATAATGCTTAAATTGAAATAATTTTTGTCTTATATTTCACCTGTCAAGCTATTTATGATGTCTTGTAGTAGATATTCATATAGAAACCAGAATAAAATTTTATGGCCAAGTCATAATACTACATTAAATAGGAATAATAGAGTGTTAAAGGAACAAAGATATACAGGAGTTGCAAATTAGAACTGTCTCTGTTCAACTAAGTGTATCAGCCTGGTACAGGTGTATACATTTGGCAGTAAATAAAAGGGAATTGATTTCCAAGCATCTGCATCAGTTTTAAGGAGGTATTGACTATCACTAAGAAAAGCTTTTTTGAACTCTCAAAAGTTCATAAATAATAGAAGTCAAACCAGTGAATCACTGAAGTACTAATTAGTAAAGTTTTGAACACACCAGAAAGACACTTGGTGAACAAGGAGTATTCAAATCAAACGTGGAATGAGGCTCAGGAGTGTATTGTTCTCAAAAAGCATATACAGCGAGGAGGCAGCGATCATTTGTGCTTCTTAGCGATTAGTTATAATGTCAACATTTTCTTTAAATGATAGGAATTGGTTAGAGGTTACTTTATGTCATTTTGGGGAAACAGTTTAAGTTTTGCTTATCATTTCCAGAGGCATAAACAAGAAATGACCCAGGTCAAATTAGTCTTACCAAATAGTTAAATGTAAGCTTTGCTTGTGTGATTAAATTGGTTTTGTCTGCTCAGGGAATTTTTCAAGGCTGGTATCTATTTTTATTTAACATACCAACAATGTCACAAGTATTGAGCAAGCTAGAACAGCAGTATGCAGTTTAGAAGAATATATTTATTTTCAATAGTGGTGTTGTCTTATATTTTTCTTTTTATTGCTTAGCATTTGAGAACTACAGCACTAAATATTTTTACTTTTACGATGAAGTTTGTATTAGCTATTTTGAACAGTATTAGTGCGGTATAATTTGCATACTATAAAATTCACCCATTTATGAATTGCAATTCAAAGGTTTTTTTTTATTAGTATATTCAAAGATAGGTGTGGCCATCCCCACTATCAGATGTAGAACATTTTAATCACCTCAGAAAGAAACCCTGTATCCAATGACTATCATCCCTTTATCCTTTCAATCCCCAGGCTCATCCCTAAGCAACCATTAATCTACTTTTCATCTCTGTATATTTTTCTGTTCTGGATATTTCATACTGATGCAGTCATCTAATAGGTGATATTTTGTGACTACCTTTACTTACCATAAGTTTTCAAGATTTATTCATCTTGTAACATACATCAGTATTTCATTCAGTTGATGTCTAAATATTCCATAGTATGGGTATATCATATATTGTTTATCCATTTTCCCTTCCATTCTGATTGTTTCCACCATTGGCTATGTAAATAGTATTGTTATAAGCATTCCTATGTAAGCTTTTGTGTGAACGTATGTATTCATTTCTCTTGGGTGTATACCTACAAGCAGGATGACTAGGACATATGGAAACTCTATCCTTAACCATTGTAGGAACTACCAGAGAATTTTTCAAAGTAACTGCAGCATTTTACCTTCCCACCAGCAATGTATCAGTATTCTTTTTTCTCTGTATCTTATACAACATTTGTAGCTGTCCTACTACAGGACTATAACCATTCTAGTGGATATGAAAGTTTGAAGTAGCATCTGACTTTGTTCTGGATTTGTATTCCCCTGGTGACTAATTATGCCCAGCATGTGTTTGTGTGCTTATTGACCATTTGGCTCTTTCTGGAAGAAATATTTATTCAGATCATTTGTCATCTTTTCATTGGGTTTTTTGCATTTTTATTATTGAGTTGTAAATGTTCTTTATATATTCTAGATACAAGCCTCTTACCAAATATATTATTTGCAAAAAATTTTTCCCTACTCTATGGGATTTCTTTTCACTTTCTTGATGGTGTCTTTGAGGTACTAAGTTTTTAATATCGAGGAATCAAATTTATCTATTTTTTTGTTTGTTGCTATATTGTGTCATTTCTAAGAAAACATAAAGGTAAATCTCTGAGTTGTATAGTTTCCACTCTTATATTTAAGTTTTTGATCAATTTTGGTTAATTTTTTGCAGATGGTGTGAGATATGAGACTTCATTAGTTTGTATGTAGCTATTGAATTGTCCCAGAACCATTTATTTGAGAAAAGCCTATTTTCTCATTAGACGATCTTGGCGCCTTGGAGAAAATCAATTGATCATATGTGTGTGGACGTTTTGCATGTTTAATTCTATTTCATTGATCTATATTTCTGTCCTCATTATCCATACAACAGTTTTCATTGGCACTGCTTTGTAGTAAGATTTGAAATCAAAAGTTTGGGGTCATATAAATTATTTTGTTTTTCAAGATTGTTTTGGATATTCTGGGTTTCATTACAATTCTATGTGAATTTTAGATCAACTGGTTTATTTCTATGATGGAGTAAGCTGTGTTTCTCTGACAGAAAATGTGCTGAATCTGTAGTTAAGTTTGAGGAGTATTGCTATCTTCACAAGGTAAGTCTGTCCATAATGGACATGGGATGTCTTTCTGGTTATTTAGATACGATTTCATTTCTCTCAACATTTTGTTGTTTTCAGATTATAAGGTCTTTACTTCCTTTGTTAACTTTATGCCTAGTATTTTTTCTTTCTATACTATTGTGAAAGGAATATTTTTTAAAAAATTTCATTTTCAGATTGCTCATTGCAAGTGCATAGAAAGATTATATGCATGGAAATATGGTAGGGGATAATTATTTTTGCTTACTTAAAAGATTTCAATGACCCAGTTACACAAAGTCTTCTGTGTTTTGGGTAGTGTATACCTTTTCTCAAGGAAAGGAACCAGATAAGACAACAAAGACTGTAAGCCTGAAAGAGATTTTGGTTAAAAAAAAGTCTTTACAAATAGATATGAATGTAATGATTACAATGTATGAAATAAGCTTTATGAAATACATGAAATTTTTTAAGTAAAAAAATTATTTTCTACTTACCCCCTCAATTATTCAAAATATGCAAGTACTAGAAGGCATGAATTTTGATTGTCACTGGAAATTTAAGTGAGTCTAATTCCTGTCTTTAAATGCATTCTTATTTAAATTTCCTTGTCATTCACTGAATTATAAGCCATGTGAGCTAAAGGATTGTTTTGTTTACTCTTGCATGATACCAACACCATAATTTATAACATATAGGAGTGATACAGAAATATCTTATGGAGCTTTTGAAAAGAATTTATTTTTAGTCTGAAAGTTAAGAGAGAGTATGGTAAGCAAAATAAAGATGTTCACATCCTATTCTTGGGAACCTACAGATATGTTACCTTACTTGGAAAAAAGGGTTTTAGCAAATAAGATTATATGAAGTAATTTGGGATCGGACCTTTATCTGAGATTATCTGGTGGACCTAGGTAATCACAAGGGTTTTCCAATAAGTAAAAACAGGAAGGCAGTAGAGTCACTGTGAGAATGATGTGATGTGAGGAAGACCAGACCAGCCACTTCTCACTTTGAAGACAGAGCCAAAAGCTGGGAGAAGTCCAGGCAGGCTCTGGAAGCTACAGAGGCAAAATATGGATTCTCTCCTACAGCCTTCAAAAACAGTGCAGCCCTGCCAAAGTCATCAATGTACCCAACGAAACTCAATTTAGACTTTTGCCATACAGAACTGTAAGATAGCAAATTTATGTTGTTAATTTTTTTTTTACATTAGCAATAGGAAATGAATTCAATGACTAAGAGTTAGGCATTATGGTCTTGTCCTGGTAGAGCAATTGCCATGTGTCAGGAATGCAGAGAAGAGAGAACCGCCATATTCCAATTCTAAAAGTAGTGTAATATGGTTGGAGCATCGACTTAAGTCAGGAGAAGTGATTGAAAGCAGAAACCAGCTAATGAAGAATCTTGTAAATCTTGTAAGGAACTGAACTCTTATTAAGGACAAGGAGACCTTCTGAAAACTTTTCGAGCAGGGAGCAACTTGATCTGATTTTTGTTTTATAAAGGTCATTATGAATCCAGTGAAGATTAATGGTAGCCAGAATTACATTTGGCTGTTGTTAACATTCAGACCCCAGATATTAATGACCAAATTAGGGTAGATGCTGCTGTCATTAAGAGGATGAAAAAGATAAAGACTTAAAATCAAGTGGCATCAGGGTGGCTCAGTCGGTTAAGCATCCAACTTCTGCTCAGGTCATGATCTCACTGTTCATGAGTTCCAGCTCTGTACTGACAGCTGGAGCCTGGATATTGTTTCAGGTTCTGTGACCCCCCACTCTCTCTGCCCCTCTCCCACTCCCTCTCTCTCTCTGTCTCTCAGAAAATAAATGTTAAAAGAAATAAAAAAAAAGAATTAAGCAAACAGAATGAAAATGGTGGACAAAGAGATAACAATGTTGATATCAAGTGCTCCTTCTTGAACATTGGTGGGTAGTAGATGGGAAATAGGGGTCTAGGAAAATAGCAGTTAAGTTCATTGATGGATTTATCAAGTAAAGGTATTTCTAAGCTGATACTCCAATTTAGATATATGCATATGAACAACAACAAATGAAGGTTCATGTCTGAATATATAAAAGGTAATGGAAACAGGAAGGATATATTGTATACTTGGCCAAAAAACCCAGCAGAGATATGGGCTAAGACCCATACCATAACTCTGGGAACAGTAATATTTAAGGGATTATTTAATCCTAAATTTTAATCTGATTGTGTCATTTTTGCTCTGTTGTACAACAGGCTTTAAAGCAGAGAAAATAGGCTATAAACCATGTCTCCATATTGATAGGTCAAATTCTTTACTTTGAAACCATTTTCCTATTTTTAAATAAGTGTAACAATTTCCAATTCGGTGTTTGTGCAAGAACAAAATAAGGTAAAGTATGTACAATGACTAGCAAATGAACAATTTATAAAATTTGCAGCCGATTTAGTGACATTTTGTTACGATCACTACACAGTGGCATTTATTTGTTTCTTTGTTTTATAACTTAAGTATAGTTGACACACAATGTTACATTAGTTTCTGTGTAAAACTTCTTGATTCAACAAATCTATACATTATGCTATGCTCATCACAAATGTAACTACCATCTGTAACCATACAATACTATTATGAAGTCATCATTGGCTACACAGTCTTTGAGCTGTCCCTTTTTTCCCCATTACTTATTCATTCCATAACTGGAAGGTTGTGTTTCCACTCCCCTTCACTTGTTTTTCCCCTCTCTCCACCCTTACTCCTCTGGCAACCATAAGTTAGTTTTCTGTATTTATGGGTCTGTTTATGCTTTTTGTTTCTTTGTTTATTCATTTGCATTGTGTTTTAGATTTCACGTATAAGGGAAACCATATTGTATTTGTCTTTCACAGTCTGAGTTATTTGACTTGGTATTATGCCTTCTAGGTCTGTCCATGTTATCACAAATGGAAAGATCTTATTCTTCTGTATGGCTGAATAATATTCCATCAAATGCACTTTTCTTGCTCTTAAATAATGAAATGGCAAAGCCCTACATATAAAATTTGACTTAATCTATTTAATCCATTTTTATGGAATCATGAGCAATGATATAAAACACATCTATCATTCTGGGAAATAAATCAGTACTTTACATTGGTTTTGACATAGGACATGTGTTCCAATTAGTGCACTGCTTGAGGTTAACTAAAACCTTACAAAGTTTGTTATTAAAAACACAATTAATAGATTCAGGAATGAAAGAAATAAAGCCTAGCACAGCAAGTTTCCTCCTCTATTCTTTTTAATTTCTGTGACTGTGTTGTGTAATTGTTAAAAATTTGATTGATCACACCTTTCCTTAAAGGTATCAGAGGTTTTAAACGTAAATAATGACCTATTATCTTCCACAAATATAATTTATTGATTGTTTTAACTCTCCCATATAATATTCTTCTAATTACTATAGCCTAGACATTTAATAACACTCCATTTCCTCTGTTACTATTAGAATTTTTGTTAGGCTGCAGTTTAGAATCTAATTATTACAGGGGCACCTGGGTGGCTCAGTTGGTTAAGCATCAGACTTTGGCTCAAGTCATGATCTCACGGTTTGTGGGTTCAAGCCCTGCATCGGGTTCTGTGCAGGCAGCTCAGAGCTTGGAGCCTCTATCAGATTCTGTGTCTCCCTCTCTCTCTGCCCCTCCCCCCCTCATGCTCTGTCTCTACTTGTTTCAAAAATAAATAAAAACTATAAAAAATATAAAAAAGAATCTAATTATTATATATCATTTCTTCAATTATAGTGTAAGATCTTTAGCTATAGCAGTTATGCATAATCATTATGTAGTATATTTCACAGTTGCAAGGCAAAAGTGTATACATAATAGATATGTTTTGGTTAAGATTAAGAAATATGCATAACCCCAGGTATTTTTTTTATCTGAGCAAGCATATAAGAGTACTGGCCTATAATTTCTCATTTTTTATTGTTTTTTAATAATTATGTGAAACAGATTATAACAGGAGTTGCAACACTAGGAGTGGTTGAGATAAAAATTAGCAAAAAAAAAAAGTAACAACCCGAAAAACCTTTCTTGAATATATGTGGAATAAATGCATTCAATAACCCAAAGAAAGCAAAATCTACAAATCATAATTCTTGTGTGGAATTAAAATTTAAAGTGTGTATATGCACACATTCCAACATGTGCCTACACAGGGGCATGTACATACACCTATACATTTATTGTCTGCCCTCTTTGACTTCCAAATAGAGATAGAGGGGAAAAGAGTTGAAACTTTGGCCAGAATTTATATATATATGTGTATATGTATATGTGTATACACATATATATATATCTTTTTCTCACACTGGTTGCTGTACAAGTTGACAATTAAAACCTGTTCCCATAGGATCTTTCAAACTACTGTGTATCTCATTAGTTCTAGAGTTGTTAGTTAAGAGGTAACTTTAATGATACACAGAAGAAGAAAAAAAAACCTACAGTAGATGCAAGCCTATAAATAGTGCTTCTATAATTTTGTAATAAATGTATATCATATGAGCCAGCTCAGACTGCCATAACAAAATATCCTAGACTGGGTAGCTGAAGCTCCAGGACTATATTTCTCATGGTTCTGGAGACTAAAAATCCAAGATTAATACCAATGTCTGTTGAGGGCTTTTTCCTTGGGTTGAAGATGGCTATGTCATCACGTGATCATTTCTCCATGCAGGCAGGTAGAAACAGAGAAACCAAGTTTTGAGGTGTCCCTTCCTTAAGGGCACTAATTCCATCAGAAAGGTGTCAGTCTAATGACCTCATCTAAACCCTATGACCTCCCAAAGGTCCCATCTCTAAATAGTACCACATCAGAAGTTAGGGTGTCAGTAACTGAATTGGAGGAGAATAATTGAATCTGTAGAATATATATTTCAAAAGCTGCTAAAACCTTCAGACGTTGACAATTTTTTCAAGCAAGAGCTAGAAACAAAGCAGTAAAAAATGAAGGTAGGTGTAGCTTCATGATCACAGATTTCACTGTCATGTTTTTAGGATGTTGATTAGAAAGTGACAGTTTATGTCACTAAGAACAGTTTGACAACAAAACACTAAACAGTATTCAAAGTTCTGTCTAGTAGGTTTATTCAGGGATCTAGGAGTGGTTGTGAGTCAATTATCTGCCAAATATCTATTATTTTAAGGTGATAAATTATTACTTGTTTTCATCCATGACTGGAAATGATGATTTTAAATTAGTTTTTGAAATAAAAATTTTCATATGAAGTGAAATCAATAAGGGAAAGGGTTGATCAAGTCTTGACTAATTCACAGAATATATTTTATATAATCTGAAAAAAATTTAAAAGCTTAAGTAAAAAATGAGAATTTTTCAATAATATTAAAATATACCATCCTAAAATTGTAAAATATGTTCAGAAATAAAGGAAATATGAACACCGAAATGTAAAAATATGCAAAGTAAATGAACAATTCATAAAATAAATTAATAGATAAACATGCATTAAAAATATACTAAAATACCAACAGTTGCTTAAAACCAAAACATTTGTCAGGAGGATTATAAAAGAAATCCTCAGTTTTTCTTAATGTGTAGAAACTAATCGTTTAGCATATTTTAAGCTTAGCATGGCTCTTATTAGTAACTGTTACTTGAACATTTTCTAAAATACAGAAATTTACAAGAGCTATTATGAGTTCAATTTAATTAAAATTGCTGTTTTTCATAAGGTTGGATCTTGTCATTTCATATTAGAATGAAGACATTTTAATATTTGTTTTCATGTTTGCAATTTGATGTGTCAGGTATTAGAGCATAATATTAAATTGCACTTTTCCATCCACATTGTTCTTGCTTCTTTCTCCTTCTATTTTGCTGTCATTTATTATACTGCATCTTCTTTAACATGCTAATTTTGGTTTATAGGTATTTCTTCTTTCTGGAGTTGGAAGAAAGTTGTCATTAGCAGGTGGGAAGTATTATTTTCATCATTTTTGTCATGTTGCAGTGTACCATAAAAATTGCTCATCTAATGAGGATTGACAGCAAATACAGAGAAATGCATTCTAGAAAATCAATTTAAAGGATCACTTTTCATTTATTATCTGGTTGTAAAACACTGTAATGATATTAGACATCATGTCAAAATTGGTGTAAATAAGTAATTCAAATAACCCAGTACTCTTTTAAAGCATTTTTAACTAGTTAGTATGACATTAAAAAGTAATTTTCAGTTGCTGTGAAAATAGTATGTCCAATGTTCAAATTTAAAGGGTAATTTAATATACTAACATGTGTATGATAGTTTCTAAGTCAGAGGTATCTGAATATATGCACATTTCTAACTTTATCACTTTTTAAAACCTCATATTTGGATGGATTTGAACTAACCCTACTCTAGAATTAATATAGGGGTTGTGGGATAGGAATGGTATGTTTTTAAATGAAAATACTTACATTTATTTTTTTCATACTTCTATTTAAAGCTAATCTTAATCTAGGCCAATAATAAGCTATTTTTGACTACTTTCTCTGAGACTTGAGAAATACACATGCATAATAAAATCCCATAGTGATAAATCATCCTCAGGTTAATTTCTTCATGTTGGGAAGAATAGTCATCTACACACCTGTTCTGATTCTCCAATCTGTTTACCTTAATAGCATTCTTTCATTATAGACCATATTCTTTTAAAGATCAATCTTTTTTCCATGCTTTTTGAAAGCTCATGACATTTACAAGAAGTGTTAATATTTCATAATCCAGGATTAAATAGCAATATTTAATCACAGGGGCTTCCAAATGTATAATCATTATCATTAAGTTATATTAGACAATTTAAATAAAACTTTCATAATCTAAATGTGAATGTTATACCAAGGGATGGAGTTTTGCATTTTGTGTTGCAGTATTGGATACATGCTATAGAATTTCAAAAAAAAAATTTTGTATTTACTGAAATAATAAGGAAGCATTCACCAACATAGTAGATTAGCTTTCTCTGAGCATTATGAGTACCTGTAATAAAATTTAATTTTAATTTATACTTTTAATAAGTGTTAACATAAGGGATAAGAAGAACACTCACAAAACAGTGCATAGCATTAATCTTGAAATGGCAGCATTGCATTAAACCAGTGTGAGACCTGTTGAGTTTAAAGGCAATCTAAAACTAATACTGTGGAATGACACTTGAGTTTTCTTCAAGGTTGTTTTAGTGACCACTGACCTGAAGATTAAAAAAAAAAAAAAAGTTTCACCTGGTTAGTCACGGTTATCAACAGCTAGCTCATAGGCCATGTGTGTTCTGGTGACAGGCACTACTAACTCACACCATTTCCTTCCTTCACCAGAAATTGATTCCACACATGATCTGGTGGAATTTCAGAAAAGTAGCTGTAAATAGTACTTTCAGCTCAATGTCTAGGATTCTTTCTAAATGGTTTATATCTATGCCATCATGCCAAAAAAAAAAAAAAAAAAAAAAGATAGTGGCCAAAGTAGCAGGCCAAGAAACCTCCATGGATTAACAAATTCTGCTTAGATAGGAGGGTATAAGCAAGACAGTGTAAATAAGGTTGTAAGATTTTTAAAAAATTGACTTTATATATTAACCCAGTCTTGAAAATTTCAACATCTGTAAATCTCCAAAATTTCTCTTGTTGTATGTGGTCACTAACTTAAAGAGGCATCTTAAATAATTTCCTAAAGTAAATGGAAATAGCTCATTCCCCAAGAATAGATGAGTGAGGCACCTGGAATCTATAGAAATGGAAATTTATTTGGAAGTCAACATCTGAGTGAGATGAGAAACATAAATTCATACATTCTATGCATAACAATAAACTTACTTTTACACATATTTTATACAGAAAATGCTTACATAGGTATTCTAGGGTTGTTTGTGGGACAGTTTAGGGTCTAAGCATAGAACTGTTCAGGTGTCTCATGTTTTCTTAAAAGTTAGAAAACAGAGTCTGAAAAGGAAAGGGAAATTAAAACTGGCTAATTTGTTTCCTACTGGAGTAGGACAGAGGAGATTATAACCACCTGGGGTAAATGCATCCCAGTTCATCTATGCTTGAAATGACCTCTCCTAGATTAGAAGGAACTTAACTGAGGAACAAGGGGGAGAAGAAGGGGAGAAATGGTGGGGAAAAGGGAGAGAGGAAAACCATGAGAGACTCTTGAATGCTGACAAAAACTGAGGACTGATGGATGTGGAGGGGAGGAGGGATGGGCATGGAGGAGGACACTTGTGGGGATGAGCACTGAGTGTTATGTGGAAACTAATTTGACAATAAACTATTTGTAAAAATAAAATAAAATAAAATAAAATGACATTTGAAAAAAAAAAAAAAAAGAAATGACCTCTCCTATAAGTTTGCTGAATTCCTATCTCTCAGACAAGAAGTCACTGACAACTTAGAGAGGTTTGAGATCATACCATGCAAAGAAATTAATTAATATATCAGTTGATTTGTTGCAAAGGAAATGAAAAGAATATCAATTCTGGGCTAACATTTATCTGCCCATTCCTCCTCTGTTGGTCCTTAATTGTTCTATGATTTTTAATCCAAGGACTTAATTCAGTCTGTTATCTCTGTGGCCAGGTATCTTTAAAATAATAATAACCTAAAACAACATCATATTAAACACTCAACTTTTAAGGGAAGAAAAGAGAAAATATACAAACATGTAGTTTAAAATTGTAGAAACCTTCCTAAAACTTGTATTATAGTGCTATTATTTATACATCCTGTTTTGGGATAGATATTCAAATTTATTATACAAAGTAGAAAAAATACAGATTTATCTCTACAAAACAAGTATCTACAGTTAAATAGTATGTGGATTATGTAACCCAAAACTATTATATTCAATCCATCAATTTTTGGGTATTACTCATATGTAGCTTCAAAAGCAGCATCAATTCCTACAACTTATTTTCTTTCTGAAATTCTTCTCCTTGAGGTATAAGCAAATGGATAATGCTACTTCGTTTTGAGGACAGTGACTAAAATGTTTTAGGTAGAATGCATATCAAAACTTATTTAGAATAAATATGAGAAGAATATACATATGTAAATCCATAAAGTTCTATGACACTAAAATTCACATGAAAATAAGCATTGGAGCTAATATGGAGACTTTAGGTGAAAATAATTATAGTTGAATGATCTCACTTTAATGTATATCTGAACAGCATGGTTAAGAGTTAAAAAGACTGGGTGTTCCTAAGTGGCTCAACCAGTTAAGTTTCTGACTCTCAATATTGGCACAGGTCATGATTTCATGATTTATGAGAGGCCAGAGCTGCTCGAGATCCTTTTTTCTCTCTCTCAAAATAAATAAATATTTAAGTGAAAAATTAAGATGGTTTACAACAAAGGCAACCGATGCTAATATGATTGTATTCATCATATTTTAATGGCAATATTAATAAATCTCTATTTCAAACTGGTTTAAAATGCTCTGGGAAAGTTTTGGGAGGTTTAAAAAGCCTTGGGAAAAGTTTTCCTCGATTTCTAACCAAAGTGCCTTTGAAAACAGAAAATGAAAAAAATTAGTGATAGAATTTGAAATTTTCATTAATTAGAAAACTCCATGGCCAAATAGTAAAATAAAAACAGTAGACCAAGATATTCCATTTATAAAATTGCACATCTCAAATAAATAGATATAAATAAGCTTCTGGATTATAAATACAGGTAATAAATTATTTGCTAAATTCTATGTAAACTTTTTGAGGATCTAGATGAAATGGATTATTTTCTAAGATTGGAAATTATATAAACTGATTTAATATTAGCTAGAGGGATAATGGACTAGAGAAATAATTTTTGAAGGCTGAAAATATGACAAAGGCAACTAATATTATTATATCTGTCATATTTTTGGAACAACATTAATAAATTTACATTTCAGAAGTTTAGTTTAAAATGTTCTGGATAAAAGCTCAACATTCACCAGATGCAGACAGTTTCAGAAGAGAAATTTATAAAATTTCTAAGAAATATTTAATTCCAGTATTTTCAAACTTTCTGGGAGAAAAGCTATAACTAAAAACTTCTAAATTATTTTGAAACCAGAAATATTTATAACGCATTCATAAACTTACTACACTGTTGGGGCACCTTGATGGTTCAATGGGTTAGGCCTCCAAGTTCAGCTCATGTCACCATCTAGCGGTTTGTGAGTTCAAACCCACTGTTGGGCTCTGTGCTGACAACTCAGAACTTGGAGCCTGCTTTGAATTTTGTATCTCCCTCTCTCTGCCCCTCCCCTGTTCGTACTCTGTCACGCTCTCTCTATCTCAATCTCTCAAAAATAAATGTTAACAATTATTTGTTTAACTTAATGTTGAAATACCAAAACCAATCTCACTACTACTAATACTGGTGAAATAATTATTACTAAAAATTCAACAAACTTCTTTAAATCAGAAATGCAAACATGTTTCAATATTAAGAAATAAATTGAGTTCACCATAATAATGGGGTAACACAAAACTCATATAATCATGTATTTGAAAATTTATTTGGTGAGGTTCAAAAAAGAAAAGCGTTTTGATGTAAAATCTCTTAAATAAAAATAATGGCTATATAGACATTAACATATTAATTCATGACCTAGCATCATTTGCAATATAGTAACATAGGAATTGCCACAGAAGGCAGAAAGACCAACTAGGATGCCCCTGTTAACATTGAATATTCTGCTGGAAATGGTATCCCATGGAGTTATAGCAAAGAAAGAAACAATGTGGGGGATTAAAGAAAAACATTAATGTTTATTTTTGAGAGAGAGAAACAAAGAGAGAGAGAAAAAGAGAGAGAGAGAGAGAGAGAGAGAAAGCAGGGGAGGGGCAGAGAGAGCAGGAGACACAGAATCTGAAGCAAGCTCCAGGCCCTGAGCTATCAGCACAGAGTCCAATGCAGGGCTCAAACCCAAAAACTGTGAGATCATGACCTGAGCCAAAGTTGGATGCTTTACCAACTGAACCACCCAGGTGCCCCCAATGTGGATATTTTAAATTTATAAACAAAAATTAACAAGATGGACACAAAGAACATGAGTTTGAAGAAAGAAGTAGAAGCACAGGCCCCATTTATATCAGAATAGAAGACCTAAATGAGGGTACTTTTAAAATTTCACAGTAAGCTTATATAACCCATCTAGAAATTAGACACATTGTTTTCAAAAAGTGGTTTCAGAAATAAAAAGCCATGTTATTAATAGCAGCAAAGTATAAATACACAGTAATATTTTAGCAAGAAATTTGAAAGACTTTTGTGGTTAAAATCTGTAAATCTATAAAAGCTTTTAAAGAGGACTTGAAAACATGGAATGACATACCAAGCATCTGGAAAAGAGCCCTCATCATTGGAAAGATACTTGTTCTCTCTAAATCAATCTGCAAACAGAATCAAAATCTAAAGACTTTTGAACATGGAACCTCAAAACTTGATTCTAGAATTTATCTTTTCCTATCAAATACACACAGGTACTATAAAAGTCAGTCACTACATAGGAGGTGACTGGTCTTAGTAACTGACAAAAAGAATAAGAGGGCATTTGTTTTTTCTGTAAGGAAACCCAAGTCTAGCAACAAGTTAAAATACTGGAGCAAATGATGAGGAGGGCTCGTCATTTGATTTATTTCGCTGCCAAACCAATAAAAACAAAGTTTAAGGATAGATTCAAAGTTGAGTATACACCAAAGAGAATGTGGCATACTTTTAATTCTCCTGCCTTTTCTATGTCACATTGGGGTGTCCTGAGTACAGCTTTATCTCAGCTTTGTCTAGAAGTCCCACCTTACACTTCAGGTTCTCAAAAGGCCCAAAGTGGGATGAGCTGGCAAACACCTGGGCGGGGGCAGGGGGAGTTCAGTTGTGTTCACAGCCTTACTTGCTCCAGTGTCTCTACAAGGGATTTGGATCTGCAGGTTTTTGCCCAGAATTAGCCAACCATGCTGTCAGAACACCCTAGCCCATTGTCAGGGACAGCTAGCTTTGCACATTTGGTGCCCTTTCAGAACCTAGTTAACAGACCTGGAGTTGATGGACAGATTCAGCTTAGTTATGGCATCTAGAGAACCATTTGGATCCAATAGATACCATAGACTTCCCCACAGAGGGCTATAAAAGTCCATCTACCTATTCCACTAATAGGATACCATATAATTTATAGTATGATATGATATGTGATATAACACAATATAATACAATACAATATAAGAACTTCCAGGCAAGTCCTTAATAGTTCCTAAATGCCAGACCCAGAAACCCTGGGCAGGTCAGACTTAAACAGAAACACTAAAATGGGGACTCTCTTGAGCCAGATGGCATGGGAGACTGACCCCGTAGGACCTGGGGACAAGTGAGAGTTTCAGTCCCACCAGTCTCACCTCCAGCTGACTGCTGTGGCTACTCCTAAATAGTTTCTTTCCAGGACTCCTTTTAGAGTGTCTGGCTTGGTCTGGTTTGAAATCTAATACCGCTGAATAAATCCGCAAGCCACTCTTGAATAAGACCCTACAGAATCCGTACACAAATCAATCACTCCTAACTAGCAAGACCTTCCCATGTGCTCTTATCCCTGTTAATTCTAGGGCCTGTATATACTTAAGAGTGACAATGGAAATGACATTGGTGTTGGTCTTAATCTCTGGCTCTAGGATACAAGATGTTCTCATTGCTGATACATTGTTGAAATCAGTAGCAAACAGCTCTATTAAAAGTTAAGCAGGGAGCTAACTAGGTGGTAATTACACTGGAATTAGTGTCACTGGATATAGATTCTGGCTCTGGGAATCAATATTCAGTATAATGACTAAATTATACATTTCAATGTAATTATTGGTGAATAGCGACGACATGCCGAAGTTCAAAATTTTCTGAGAATATTTAGTTAATAAAGAGGAAATCATCATAATACATTACTGAGCCTAACTTAAGATATTATTATATATCTATGCAGATAATGATAAAAAATTGCTATTAAAATGTGTTTGTAATATAAAACAATATATGTTTATTATAGGAAAGTTAAAACTCAGGGATATGATAGTGAAAACAATATCACTTCCATTCTCTTTCTCTCTCTCTCTCTCTGTATATATATATATGTATGTATATATATGTCAGGTATGGACATATATGTTTGTGTGTGTGTGTGTATATTGCAGATAAGCACACATATATCTATCAAATAACTAGGGGGAAAGCATATTTACATTATCTTAGAATTCTTCATGTAATACACACACACCATATACAATTCAGATCCTTTATATCTTTATTGTATTTATAATTATCTGATATATGTTTTATTACCTTAATTATTGCCCCCCACTAAAATTTAAGGTCCAGAAAGAGAGAACATTCTTTTTGTTTACTACTCTACCCTCCAATCCTTGTTTATGGCCAGCTCATAGTATGTATACAATAAATATTTATTGAATTAATAAATGAGGACAATATCATTCCCAATTGATGAATAAAGAAACTGAGGGGCACCTGGGTGGCTTAGTTGGTTAAGCGTCCGACTTTCGCTTAGGTCATGATCTCACGGTTCGTGGGTTCGAGCCCCGCGTCGGGCTCTGTGCTGACTGCCAGCTCGGAGTCTGGAGCCTGTTTCAGAATCTGTATCTCCCTCTCTCTCTGACCCTCCCCTGCTCACGCTGTCTCTCTCTCTCTCCTAGAAATAAATAAAAAAAAAAGAAACTGAAACTGGTTATTTAGTAACTTTTTCAGTGTCATGAATAATAAAGTATAAAGCTAGAAATTGAATCCAAGTGAATCTTATCTAAAGTCTATATTTTATCCCTAAACCAAGTGCCCACAAATGTGGAATTTCTCTATATTTTAATTCCCTAAAGGTCTATACTGAATCTACAAATTAAAAAAATGGGTAGATGTGTAAGTCACATACAAGAAAACTTGAACATTTCTTACTGGTACTGCAGTATTATTAATAAGTAATTCACTTGACTTGTCAGTATACCAAAGGTTAATAATTTCTAAATTCTCCCCAAATTTTCTTTATATTTATCAGTTTGAGATCTCTAGCTAGTCCTATTTCTTATATCTATAGCTGTTAACAGGAAATGAAATATACATTGACACTAATAACCATGCCATCCTGTCAGAAACTGTCTTTCATTGCTGTTCTTTTTATTTTACACTTACAATATATTTAAGATGGCGAAAGAACACAGAAGAACAGATTTAATGTGACTGAAAGCTCCCCACACAGAATCTTAAATAGCACACAGACTTTTCTTTAGGAAAGCAGATACAAGATTGCAATCATTAAGAGGCCATGAAAAAGAGGACAAAGAACTTAACAAACATTTAGATTCCCCCACAAAGCATTTCATCTTTGTCAGAATTTAATTTAAAACATTTCTGACATTCAATTATTCACTGTAGACAGACTCTGAATCAGATCATCTGCTGCCAAAGCTAAATTATCAAATAGAGAGACATAAACCTGAGTGTTTTCTGCATAATGATAGCCCATAATGATAAAAAATTCTTCCTAAAGGCATCATGTACTGTAGATATTAAGACAGGATCTAGGAAGGAAATGGAGACTTTAAAAAAATATGCCTGCATACTCCTAAGCATAGAAAACCTTGAAAAATAAAGTTGAAACTCTTAGAAAGATTTTAATTGGATCTAAGCTTGATGTGATAAATTTCATGTTGTTATTTTACCAGTGTCATCCATTTATTAACACTCTTTCAAATTGTCTTCTTATCTGTTTGCATTTTATCTTGTTGACATGTTTTAATGAATATTCAAATTTGATGTATTAAAATAGATTAACAACTAAATATAGAAATACTGCCACATACTCAGGGCAATATTATCAGGCACTAAAATGGAATCTCTATTAACCATATGTGGCTTATACACATCACAGTGGACTCAAGTGTCACAGAAGGGTGTTTCCTAAGTCACAGTCAGGTATTCTACTAATCCAGAGTCTATACTTTCCCTTAATATAGGTTTAATTTCCATAGCCTAGTTGTCTATACCATGTGGGTCCAAGATGCAGAGTTCTAATCTCTGAACACTTGAAATACCATGAGCACCTGATTTAATTTAAATATCTCAGCCAGAGTTATCTGTCTGCTGTTAAAATGATAACTGGAGTAAGCAATGTTTATCATCTTCATTGGTAAAACCGGTGTTTTATTATCAGAACTAATTTCTTTTAAATGTAAGACAGTGTCTTTACTCCCACAGGTACAAGACCCAGGATGACTTCTGTAAATGAGCCACATCCTTTGCATACTTCTCCATTGTTCTCACCTACAGTACACAGCCCATTTAACATAGAATGTTTCTAATTCTTCAGAGCCATATTTGATGTCAGTGAAAGTGAGTGTCATATAACCAGAATCCCTGTTTGCTTAAAAAAATAGATTCTCAATTTGAACTAAGATATATAAAAGGAATAAATTAATTTCAAGATACAGTAGTGTTGACTATCACCAGATAGTCTACATGAGGTACCAAGATGTTGACATAGGAGCCTCCTGAACTTGTCTCCTCCCACTGATGCACCAAATGTACAGTTATACACAGAGCAGTTCCCTCTGGAAGAAATCTAGAAACTACCTGAGTGAATCCTACACATTAGGCAAATGAGAAAACACCCACATTGAAATGAGTAGGGAAGGCTGAGACACCCTCTTGCCATAAACCACACCCTTGGTATAGTGCCAGACAATCAGGAGAGAACCCCCCCAGCTCCCAGAATTGCTGGTTATGATTCTCCCCAAGACCCAAAAGAGTTGGTGGACACTTTACCTGCCTACTCCCTTGAGCTCATTCCAACAGTAAAACCCTATTAGCAGCACCTCCCTGGAAGTTGATAGTCCAGATATCTAGTGCCCCAGCTCTTGTAGCTGCTACCAAAGGAATGGTCCCCCAAATCACCTAGTTCTGGTAGCTTAGAAGCCTTACTCTAGGACTAGAGCAAAGAAGTTGTTAATGAGAATGAGAGCACTATTTTTAGCTGTCCTGTAGGGCTCAGTGCAAAAGAAGGAAGTCAAAATGTCCATCTCCTAGCTTTTCACTGGAAAGGATTTGATGACACACATGACAGTGTTAGAGGATTTGGCTTCTAATTAGCATGGATACCGGGCTTATTGTAATTTTCTCAGGAGCTTGAAAGAACCGGTAGGCATTTCCTCTACTTTCTCCCTCTGGCTCATTCCAAAAATAAAACTAACTTGCTAGTATCTCTCTAGAAGGAGCTTGTCCATATATCAATAGGTTTTACAGTCACTATCCAAGGGAGGATGGGCTCTCAAATCACCTAGCTCTGATTGATAGTCAAAGGGTCTTGCATTCACAAGTCCCACATCACTATATGAAATAACAAAGCAGTTTTTAAACTTCAAACAGAACACATCCCTTCCAGCTATATACCAGGGCTCACTCTAGAGGAAAAAGGCGAAACCTACCATCTTCCAGTTTCTCCCTGAAAAGGGTTTAATTTTACACCTCACCAGCTATTATCTGAAAGTCTAGGTTCTAATCATCCTGCTTCCAGGTGTTCACTAAGATTCTCAACTTTGGGACACTGATAGATTTTAGCACATCCTCAACTACTAGAAAGCCAGTAATAACAAAGATGGTGGTTTGGACAATTAAACAGTTTTGATAAACAACCAGGAGCTCAGGCTGCACTGACTGACAAGATTTATCTCCTCCACAAGATCACAGTCTGTCAAGACTGAAAGAGATGGCTGTTTTATCTAATGTGTAGAAACTAACACAGAGTCAAGGAAAATGAAAAATAGTGGAATATGTTCCAAATGAAAGAACAAAACAATTCCCCAGAAAATGATCTTAATGAAACAGAGATAAGTGATTTATTCTCTATAGAGAGAGTTAAAAATTAGAGTAATAAATATGCTCATTGAGGTCAGGATACTAATGCATGAACAAAGTGAGAATTTCAAATAAGATATAGAAAATATAAAGAAGTGTTGAATGAAGCCCTAGAACTGAAAAGTACAATAATTGAACTGAAAAATTCAATGTAGAGGTTAAATATTAGACCAAAATAAATGAAAGAAAGGATCATAGAACTCAAAAACAGGATGCTTGGATTCATTCCATTAGAGCAGCAAAAATGTTTTACAAAGAATGAAAAGCAGTAAAAAGATCTTAAAGGACTTATTGGATGCTGTCAGATGGACAACTCTGCACATTACAAGTATCCCAGAAGAGATAGAAAAGGAGCAGAAGTATTTTTAAAGAAATAATGACTGTAAGTTTCTCTGACCTGGGGAAAGAAACAGAGATCCAGAATTAGCAAGTCCAAAATTTACCAAACGAAATGAATCCATACAGACACACACCAAGACACATTATAATTAAATTGTAAATAGCTAAAGACAGAATTTTAAAAGCAGCCCAGCAAAGCAACTTGTTACATAAAAGGGAACTCCCACAAAACTGTCAGTAGATTTAGCAGCAGAAACTTTGTAGGCCAGAGGGAAAGCTTCTGTTACAAATTACCCCATATTTGTTTCTCTAACAACACAAATACAGTAAAACCTGGTTTGCAAGCATATTTCATTCTGGAAATGTGCTTGTAATCCAAAGCACTTGTATATTAAAGCAAATTTCAAGAACCATTGGCTCAGTTGTGATCATGTGACATTCAGTGTCATTTACTACTTGTATAGTAACACATCACTCGTTTATCAAGTTAAAATTTTTTAGAAATGTTTGTTTGTTTTGCAGAACACTTACAGAACAAGTTATTCTCAACCCAAGGTTTTACTGTATGTTGTCTTACAGCTCTGTATTTCATTCGTCCCCGCTATCAAGGGGTTAGCAGGCTATGTTCTATTCTGGATGCTCTAAGAAACGGTCCATTTCTTTGTTCATTCAGAGGGTTGGGAGAAATTTGGGGGTTTTTTTGTTTGTTTTGTTTTGTTTTGGCCTCAGTACAGAAAACATACTAAAAACCACTGAGTCATAACTTTTAAAGAATGAATTATTGGTGTGTGAATTACACTTCAATAAGGTTTTTTTTTTTAAATGTACTGAGCCACCTATGTGTGTTTATATGGTAATCAACATTGACAAATATGTATAATGGTTCAAGGGATCTTTATATAATAAATTGAGTTATATAATAATTGAGTTATTACTCATGGTACTTGCCCTCTACATCAGCATCATTATTAACTTATATGTTGTGTTATGGAATCACTTAGAAGTGTGTCATAATCTTCACCTACAACTGAAGTACTACTTAGCCCATTATATGGCAAAAGTCATATAAGAATGACTGACCATAGAGTTCAAAAGATGGTATTACTTTCTTATCAGATGGTCAATGAAAGCTACTTAAAGAATTTGATGTCTTCTAGCCAATGTGTAAAATAACACTCTATCATGACACTTTTCAAAATGTGAAGGACTATAAACCCTATGGTACTCTGATGGTGAGAATGACAACAGTAGTAACAATGAAAATGTTATTTTGGAAGCAGAATAAACTGAAAATATGATACCTGGGGTCCTGCAATAATCTCTATGTGAGAGTAAAAGTCTAATTAGGTGGCAGCTTAAAAATGGAAAGTAAGCAATGCTTTTTGGTGATGCCATGAAGTAGTTATTAGAAGCTTGGTCTACTTTCAACAATATTTTCCCCCATTAAAGATTTAAGGAAAATCTTGTACAATTGGTATAAAATCTTGCATAATACCTGGTAAAGTACACATTATTATGCATACACTATTATAAGTCATATAGAAAAATATTTTTCAATCACTTGAATGTTATGATCTAGTTAAATGATTTAAATTTCTTCTCAAGAAAAATAATGGGTTTTGAAATATTACAAAATGACTTTCAGAAGGTTAAGGGTGGGGGAAAACAAAGTGAGAGAAAAATTCCACTCTTTGTCCTTAACTGTGCAAAACTGGCCCTCTCTGAACCCTTCACACAATAATATGCAGTATATGAGCTCATTACCTATAAATCATTTGTGAAGCTTAATATTTATTTCCTAGTTTACGGTTTTGGGCACAAATCTTTGACACATCATGTTCATGGGTTGCTGAAACAACGAGGGGTTGGATTTACAAGAAATGAATAAATAAAAGAGTATGAAGAGGTATAACACACAATAAATATTACATAGTGAAAATATGTGTAGTTTTGTTAAAGGAAAATCATATTGCATTGAGGATTATAATAGAATCACTATTCCTTACAGAGCAGAGAATTTTTTTAAGACAAATTTGTCTTTTAGGTTAAAACTCATATTTGAAATGCTGTTTAAAAATGAAAGAGAAGTTTAATACATCCAAGTGTCCAGTTCCCACTAGCCAAGAACAGTCATAACAGGTCAGTTTGACATAGACTTTCTAGGGATCAGTGAAAGAAATAGATGAAAATATAACTGGTGTTAAATGAGCCTGAAGTAGCAATTGACGATAACCATGAATTCTAAAGTATATTAAAAAAAAAAAAAAAAACCACCTGTGGAAGGGTATCACATTTCAAAATTTATCAAAAAAGAATTGTGTTCTTGGGAGCCTCTCCAATCACATAGTATAATCCCTCTATTCCTAAATTTTTGTTTACAATTATATTGTTTTAATCCTCCTTCTAAAGCAATACATTGAGTAAAGTGAAGTGCTTAGCATGTTAATATTTTAAAATCTCTGTATAATTAGTGTTTCTGTATTTTTAGTTTGAATACATTTAAAAGTGATTTAGGAAACATGAATCTCATGACACTTTAATTTTTATTTGTGCTCTGGCCTCAAGCTTGATTTGGCTCACGATCACAACCAGACTTAAGAAATTTTAAAAAGTCACTTAACTTCTATGAACCCCAATTTCCCCAGTGAGAGATTATATTTAATATGACTGCAAAAGTAATCCACATCATCTCATGATTGTAAAATGTTTTACATACTTGGTCCCTGAATCCCCTCTAGATTGGCTGTCATTTTGGTGATATTCTTTGTAAAAAAAAAAAAAAAATCCTCTTACAAATGTACAATGCATTCTGTATTTGTACAGCCCTGACTTTAGCAAACTCTTCTAGACTAATGAATATAATACATTGATTAGTAATTGATTAATAGGGACACCTGGGGCACTAATGTGTCTCAGTGAGTGTCTAACTCGATTTCAGCTCTGGTTGTGATCCCAAGGTTGTGGGATTGAGCCCCACATTGGGCTCTGCACTGAGATTAAGATTGTCTCTCTCCCTCTGCTCCTCTCCCCTGCTCATGCTGTCTCTCTAAAAACATTTAAAAAGTTATTGATTAATAATACATTAACCATTAAGGTACATTGATTATATTGATTGAGTATAAGACCAAAATATACACATTCAAATGCTGTTCTAAGGAG